TATATTCCTATACTTGAGAGAACGCCAAGTCGAAGTATAGAGATCAAGCATGTAGTTGTGTAATGTTCGTATGTGCCATTTGAATGCTCGTTGTTGAAGTTGAACATGTTGAAGCTATCTTGTTAATGACTGTTGTCCATGCTTGGTTTTTAGTTTCATGTCTTTTCAATTTCTTTTCTTTTTGTTCGGGACGAACAAATGTTTAAGTGTGGGGGAGTTGTTTTTCTAATTTTTGTTTCATTTTTCGTGTTTATTTTATCTTTCTTTTTCTCCCATTTTAGGTCTTTTTTTAGTTTTTAGTCCGTTTCGTGTTTTATTATGTGTTTTCCTTCATTTTGAGTCTTTGGGTGTTTTTCGTTTTTTTTTTCTGGTTTCTTTTGTGTTTTGTCATTTTTGGTGTGTAGGTCGGGAGCTTCAAGCAAATTTTCTCTTCAGTAAAAGTTGGGTTCGTTAGCTACGCTTAGGAAAAAACAGAACTCAATTCCGAGTTTGGACGAGCTCAAACGAGGCCAAAACGTAAGATGGTGCAGTGCAGCTCGGGTCGCGACCCGCGACCCGCGACGTACCTCCACGCCCAGCGCCCAGTGCGCGCGACTCGCGACCTAGCGTGTCGCGCCTCGCGAAAAGAACAGAGACGCCTTGGCCCTGTGACCCCTACTGATCCGCGAGTTAACTCGCGAGTCGCGACTGGGTCGACTCTATTTTTATTTTTGCTCGTTTTTACTCGTTTTAGTTCTGTTTTTCGAGCACTACATTTCAAAACAATCCTTAGACTCGTGGGAACAACCCCCATTATTGTTTTTTCACTTTCTCCTTCTCTAAAACTCATATTTATATCATTCTTTTTGCTCAATTCTCTCTTTACTTTTTTGGATTTAGCTTTGTCATTGGATTCGAATATTAGATTTCTATTAATCTTAAGTTTCTCTTTTCATCTAATCCATGAATATGATGGCTTTGATTGTTGAGAATGTTGATTTTGAATTCCATATGAGTAACTAATTCGTTCGCTAGGGATAGGGGATGATGATGATGTTTAGAATTTAATTGTGATTATCATGCTTGTTGATCGTTCAGTTTATGTGAGTTGTTCTTAACTAGGGTTTATAATTCTCGTACATTGAATGTTGAATATTGTCGAAGAGTGACACTTCGATTAGCAATTGATATCCAATTGAATATGATTCGTTCTTTTGTGATGTGTTTAAATCCAACGAACTAGTAGATTAACAATCGTCTAGGATAATTAATCAACTCTTAGAACCGAAAGGGGAGGAGTTGATCGATCTAGGCTCGCATGAAATAGACTTGTTCGGAAACGTATTGTCTATGTGTTGAGTGATTGTGTGATTTACCTTCCATGTACCCTCTTGTTACGAAGAGTTAATGAGGACTACCTCTAGACGTTAGGTTGTTCGGATCATTCAACCGAATGATCTTAGCTTGATATTTGCATTGGTTAGAAAATCATTATCCCCGATTCCTTAGCTTCTTATCATCATTTGATCTTAGTTTTTGCAGTATAGTTCGATTTTGCATTTCTTGAGTTTTCCTTTGTAGTTGATAATTAAAAACCACTATCATGATTAGAGTGTTTAGGATTTATTTTTCTTTTATGTGTTATCAACACCATTCCTAGATTCCGAACTGCCTTCCTCGAGAGATCGACCCGAGGAACGTATCTTTCGATTCGGTACTCGGTAAAAATATATTTTGCTACAACACGCGCAACGTTGAAAAGAGCATCTGCAAAGAAAAATAAACAAAATAGATTAGCAAGACAATCGAAGTTAGAAATAGTAAGAGCGAGGAAAAACAACAGTGAAAAGCAATAAAAATAATATGGAGAGCTACCTAAGTTAGTCACCGGTGGGAGCTGTAAGTTTGACAGTCCGAAGTGTGACTTCAATTGAGCATCATTGGTCAAATGAATGAGGTCGTATGGGGTCTCATTCCATTAAGTGATCCGATCGGAGTACAGTTTATTTGGTTTTGGTTTGTTGCGTCGGTCGGGCTTCTCAGAAATCCAGGCAGAAAAAAAGTAAAAGGAGTTGGGAGGAGGCCCAACGAAGAAGAACTTCGACTTCCAGTTAGGGACCTTAGAAGCAAGGTCCGTGAGAAGAAAGGGTTGTTTTTGCGGGAGTGGTAGAAAAACTTGCCTAAGGGCTTGAGCCAATAGCAGTAGAAGAACAGGTTGAGGTCGAGGATTTGTAAAAAGTGTCAGCTTAAGATACTGAACTCAACCATTAAGCATATGGAGTTAGGGAAAGGTGATTCAAAGGAACCCAGTAGAGCTGAGCTAGCTCCACCAGGTCGCTCTTCATAGGAAAAGTGAGACCAACCTCGACTTGGTCCAAAAAAAAAGTATAAAAACCCTCGGAGGGCAGATTATAGGTTTCCCAGCCACACAGACCTGGAGTTCCCAAGAGGGAGGCAGCTCGACTATGTGCCTGAGGCAGGCTATTCTTTTGGGGTGACCAAGGGGGTTGGGGGATTAGGCTGAGTGGCCGGAGGGTCTGCTTGATCATGAAAATTGTCAACCAGGGCATTTAATCGCTCCTGGGAAGGGGTGGTAGAGGAACTAGACATGGTCGATGAAGAGTTTCTTTAAGCAAAAAAATAAGAGAAGAGAGAGAGAGAGAGAGAGAGAGAGATAGGACCGGGGCTGGGGTATTCCTAGCAAGGCTCGAAGGTAAATATAGAAAGCAGTAAAAGACAAGAGAAGGCTAAGAATGATTAGAACATACCCATAAGTTGGTAAAGAGTCGATGGGAAGAGGCCGTAGAATCACTTACAAGAGATTTCTGGAAGAAGGAATTTTGAGTAGAGCGTGTGAAAGGTGAATGAGGAGGGGCTTTTATAAGCCAAGAGAAATAACAGCCTGCCAAATCTTACTATTAGAAAGTAATTAATTCAAGAATCTTCGAATGTGGGCAGGAATCTGGTACGGTGCACCCACATGTATGTTGTATTTTTCAAGTATTGGGATCTGAATAGATAGAGTCACTTTTGGCGTCTCACATTATCTCAGGCTATGTGACGGTACATTGAATGTAAAAGAAGACTGGATACAGAGGCTTAGCAAAAAGATACATTTCAGCCTAAGTCCAGCCAG